AACAATTAAACATAACATTTTTATTATATAAACACTGAAGATATCTATTGTTTCTTCCTCAGTGAAAAATACAGACTTTACAAATATATAAATGAGGTTCATTTCAAAAGTTTAACTATGGGACACCACATCTACTATTTAACTGCAAAGACCATTGTCAGTGTATGCGCAAAAAGAAAAACAGGAACTTATGTATTAGGTAAGTGAAATGATGTCTATCCATCTCAGTTAAAAAAAATATATTTAACTCTTGTTTTTATAGAAAATGTGCCACACTGTTTCACTGCAGTTTACAGGCCCAGTCAGTGGAAATTATGTTTGCAATTGTGAGCTGTTTTATAGTGTGAATGTGTTTTACTTGTTGGTCATCATATCAGTGTAAAACACAAAACTATTTCCAGTGCTGCTGAGAGCTGCATATAAGCAGCAATTCAGCCAGCATACCCCATAAATGGCAATTAAATGACTATTTACCAATCATTGAGCAGCTCTGTGCATGGCATTTCAAAGTCACGAAGAACTGAAATTAATGATCTTTCTGTGCTTCTAGACAACTGATGGACATCTGTTTGTGAACTGTTCCTCACTTACCTGCTACATAATTAAGTAAATAACCTGTAGTAATTAATATATTCTCCATTTCTCTTATAATTAATACAAAATAGTGTAGGCCTTTCTTGGAAATGTAATTCATAACTATATATCAGCTAATATTTAGGAAATTCTGAAGAGGATTTCCAGGAAATTAGCTGGAAAATACAGACCTGTATTTTTGCAAAATTAAAGCAACAGCTAAATAAAACTAGATGGCCCAGAATAAAAAATCTATCAGTACCAGGAGAAAAGAAATATTGATGTCTCAGTAGTTATTCAGGACTGTAAAGCTAATTGCAAATGTTACAAAATGCATTTTTTGACTGAAAGTCAATGATTAAAAGGAAATTTTGATTTAGGAGATTCCTCATATGTTAAAGGCTTCACTTCACTTCAACACAGACTTATAGACACAGTTGTCACCTACTGATAAAGATTAGGCTGCCAGTGTTTAGGTGGTAGCTGTCATCCTACCAGTTCCACCCACATCTGCCCCATCTTATCTCTTTTTCTCTGTCTGTCTGATCGAATCCATTGTGCTGCTCACAGTTGACATTTAATGGCAAAGGCAGTGACATCCAGACACTGTGATTAGCTGACACTATTACTGTCACATAACGCTTTTGTTATTCCATCAAGTCAGAGAATGACAGAAAGATGGACTGTTTGTGTTTAAAATAAGCTGAGTACAATGAAAGTCATGGTACTTTATACAACATACAGGATCAAAGTTTAGATTCTTTAGGTTAAAGCACAAAAATGTGTGCAGATGTCCCTAAAATTATATGAGGAACCAAGAAAAAGTTCTGCTCTCATCCAGGGGGAGGATGTGCACAAAAAAATCTAATTCAGACACTCAAGTGGATTGTTGATAATAAAAGTCATTTAATGAATATGGACTAACACATTAAAAAATGCACCAATGCACGTCGGCACAGCTGCCGTCCTCAGAATGCCAGTTTGCCGAACTGAACTGAATTGGATGTTTTGGTGCCTTGTCTTACCCATGGATGAGTGCAGATCTTTTCCTTCGTTTATCATAATGTATTTTTTCCCTTTCAAGAGCACCAGTGGTGGTGAGGGATACCACAAGTGCTCTTGCTTTGAACAGTTTTTACCCCTAAAAATATATCAACCGAATTAGATCACTCGAAAAAGCAGGGTTACAAAGTTGAGACCACAAAACTGTACATTCTCTACTCCTTGGCTCAGAACAAAGATCCATCACCTCATATTCCTATAGTGCTCTACACAAGACTCTCTGAGTTCACAGACTGGTTATATTTGTGGGAGCTGGTTCAGTGTTTCGTGAGGTTCAAAAGTCAGTCAGTGCATCCTTGCATATGCTTTCTGAGAAAAGCTTATACCAGTAAAAAATATGAATAATCAATACTTTTATGTTTATCACTGCAAAATGTAAGATGCAATCTGTTAATTGAAACATCACAAACTGCCTGGGTTGGAAGACTCATTGCTGTGTGCAGGTACCTGATAACAACTGCATTGTAACATCACAGTGCTGGTGATGTTACTATAAGTTTCTAAAGAGGAATTATTGTGGGTGTTTGTGTGGGTTTGTTGCTCTCTGCAGCTCCTGCTGGAGAATCACATTCGAATTTGGGCAAAGATGAGGGAGACAGCCAAGCAACAAAGGCGTGGGATAGGCTCAAATAAACAAAACCTCAAAGATGCATCATAATATGCATACTACCTTCTCAATGAAACAATAATTTTAACACCAGCATGCAGAGGAAGAGGAGAACCTCTTGTGGTTAAAACACTAATAAACATGTATGACCAGAGAGAGGCTGTGTGTTTAGTATTCATGGTGTACTGGTTTTAATTATCTTTAACTGTCTCTTTTAATTGAATGGTTCTCTGCAGGTGTATTGTAAAAAGCTAATTGGAACATATAATAGGCTTACAAGACCTGGCTTTTTTCAATCTTTTTAAAAATCTGGCTCTAATCAGCCTTTTGCTTCCCTTTATTTGCCTTGTCCAAGTAAATCCAAGCTAAAACAGGTTGGAAGGGCCAGTCAGTTGTCTTGACATGACCTCAGCCTGGCTGCTCTGTTGGGAGTGCAGGCAGAGCAGCTGAGACAGCACCAGGAACATTACAGTAAACGCAGGCAAATGAATTCTACCTGCATTGTCCCCCCTCTAATCTAGCTGTCTCTTTGATTGAGGGTTGTGTGCTGGCCGTGCTCCTCATTTAAAGACTATCTCATTCACATACTGTGCCATTTCGAGTCCCCCTCAGCTTGTTGTTGATGTGTTGACACTGTCACACACTCAATTGTAATCTATTTTTAGGTCTCATGCATTATACACAACATTACCATGAATATTGCCATTAAAGAGTAAAGCTGGCAGTATTATATAGTTTTCATTACGACCAGCAAATCCCATGAAAATCCAATGAACTGATCCTACTAACACTAAATGTGTGTGTGGCCATTCCACTGCTGAAACTAGTTCCCAACAAATGCACTGTTTACTTGTATTTCAGTTACATCCCACTTTTTGCCCCTCCCATCATGTTTGGTTTCCGAGTGCTGATGTAAACTAGTGAAAAGCTAATGTTAGAAATGTGTCAGTCCAGTAGAGCACTCTGGTTACTGCTAATGTGGCACAATGCATTAATGTGACACAAATCTCAGATTACTCTCAAATTAAAATTATATTAATTCAGTACTAAGGTAAAATCATGACTGTGTTAGGTTGCTAATGTTACCAAAACAAACACACTAGCTTTAGACACGTTCAGAAGGAAGAACACCACATCTGAATTTAATCCTTTGGCTGCTTTCAGTGCTCTCCATCTCATAAAGGCAAAACAATGCTAACCCTGGCTGTTGCTCTTTCTTGGTCCCACTCCCTCTGTGCAAAAGATGCCACCTCTTCGCTCTGTCAGCAACTGGTTTGGACTTTTAGCTGCTGAGAGCTCCTCCATGGCTGGCTGTTTGAAATGAATAATCAGGGTTTGAAAAACATTTCTTATAACCTTGGCTAGGTGGCAGGCTGGGCTAATTTACAGACTGTATTTTAACAACACAGGGTGTGCATTGGTGGACCTGAGGTAGCGCTCCTGCAAACTGTCCGGGTTCACTTTGTGGCACCACACCAGCCACTGAGATTGCACAAGCCACTGTGCTCTTAGTGCCGTTCCCCAGCCTAGATAAAATGGAGGGGTTGTGTCCAGAATGGCATTAGATGTAAAAACCTGTTCCAAATCACATTTGCGGCTCTGGATTCATCTGTGACAACCCTGACAAGAAGCGGCCAAAAGCATAACAACTTTGACAGCAAAGGGTATAGAGAAGCTGGGATAACAACAGAAGGGCTGTAGGCAGCAGAGTGTCAGAAGGTGGGTAGTATAGCCAAGAAACACCAGGTCCCTTTTTCACTTGATTCATCAGACAGTGTGTAAAATCCTAGTTAATGTACTTTAACGCTGGTGGGCAAGGAAGAGTCAGAAGACCAGAGCTTGTCTTTTTCTCTTTTATTGTTGGCCTGGGAACAGACAGCAACCACAGAACACGAGAACACTAACACACTCTAACAAGTCCTGCCAAGTCCGAACTGCGGGGGCTGCTGCCTATCATGGCATTATCATGGCACCTCGGCATTATGGGGAGTCCTGCCAGGTGCTACTCCGCCCTGATGCTACAGTACCTTTAAATTAGCCATCCAGACTACCAATGAAATGGTAACCTGTAAAAACCAGTGACACATTTGCAACACTTCACACATTTGTAGCATTTTTGTTCTGTTAAACAATATATTCAGATATTGTTTTAGATTTCAGTTTTTTTTCATTGTTGTTGTTGTTGATGTAGTTCCTTGTGGTGGCACTTGTTACTTTATCTGTTATTCCATAGTGGGTATCACTGCCAATGCTAAACACCCAGTCCTTTGTTCTTTTTCTTTTTTCCAAACAAACTGCTGATATGAAATGTCAAACATCCTGCTTGCCTCTGAATTTTAAAATATATGAAGTGCCGCGCATTGGTACTGGAAAAGGAGACAAATCAGCTGCATGCTAGGAAGTTATGAACTTTTCACTTCACAGTGAACATACATCCAAAGTATTGGTATGTCTGTCATTGTACCTGCTATAGGCTCGCTGGTACTAGAATCAATGCAGGCATTATTCTGCATATATCTTTTATGACAGTATTATACTGTAACTGAGTCCTCGCTGTGACTTCTTCTGTTCAGTCACTTCACTTTCACACCCATTTCTCACAGGCATAAACACCCCTTCTCCCTCATCTTTTGCTTTCTCCCACTCTGCTCTAGTGTGTTGCTCCTCCTTGCTTCCCCCCTTCAACCCCTCCTCCACATTCTGTCGCTCTGCATTAAGCCCTGCTTGTCTCTTCCCCTCTCTGATCCTGAGAGCAGTGCCTATGGCAGCTCCTCAGACCAGCGTGAGCACTACTAGTCTCCGGTTGCCTACCCAGCGCTGCAACTGGAAGACGAGTGGGAGAAGGGGAGTATCTGTCTTCATGCCCTAAGAAGGAGAAAGGAAAAAGAGGAAAGGGGAGATAGAGTAAGAAGTGCGCATGTGAGAAATGCAGAGTGAATAATTAAGAGAAATGAGAAAGAGGGAAAGAAACAAAAACAGAAACCAAAAAACAGGAATAGGAAGAGAGAGAGAGAGTAAATAAGTGAGCGAATAGGAAACAGAGAGAGGGAGTGAGCGAGAGCATGTGAGAGGAAGGGAGGCGAACAACACTGCAGACACTCGCCCACTGTCACTGCTCCACAGCTAGAGGACAGAGGCAGCAACGGCAACAGTGGAAGTGGATACGATGGAGGAGGAAGACTGTGCCATCCATCTGCAGCTCAGTCCCCGTTGCTGACAGCCTCCCTCTGGGGCCATCCTGTCAAGTTGGAAGCTAAATGGGAAAAAAGGAAGAAAAGTGCTCTATCTGTCCTTCACAAGACCAAGTACCGGACCTCAACTCCTACAGGACACACCTCATTATTTTTCCTCTCTTACACTCTGATACACTTGCTCACACCCTCACTTTCTCAAACTGAAGCACACTTCACTTCTCATTGCCTTTTGGACTAGCGTGTTTGTTGTTTTTTTCACTGCCTTCGCTGACCTTCTAAACTGAGTGGATTTACTTTTATCCTGTGGTGGACCATGGGGCCGGGGTGGAGGGGTACAGCAGGGACCCTCCGTAAAAGGACAGAGGGGAGCTGGTACCTTTTGGTGACATTGCTGCTGCTCTGTGGTTTGTGGAAGGCTCACACACAAACAGACGACGGGGGGTCTGTGTACTTCTGGGAAACAGGTACCACTAAAACACTAATTAGAGATTATATTTGATCCCCTGTGTTAATATGGAGCATTTAAGATGGTTGGTGGTGAATTATTGTGCGTCGTTGCCTACGGTATGTGACCTCCCACACTCAGAAGCAATGATCAGTCACATCTAATCATGTGTGGGTTTCCAGTTTGTTATCTGTAGGAACTGTGTTTTGGAATATGTGAAAACTTTGGCATTTTAGGGAGCATTTAAAATCTGTGCATCTGACACAACCTCATGCGGTTTTCTATCGTGAAAATGAAAAGATTTTTGGCTCTAGTACAGAAACAGGCATGTGCCCATGCTTACTTGAACTGCACATGTCTACAGCTCTTCCAGATGACACACTTCGGCTGTGTCGTATATGTGTTATTTGAGGTTTATACAGCTCTACGCTGCTGGACTTCAGAGATACTCTTGAAAGATGACCCAGAAATCTACAGCAGAACTGTCTCCTCATTCTGAACCGCATGTGGCAAGCAGGACAGCTGTGATCCATTTTTGAATGGATTCCTTTCATCTCCCTGAGTCTCAGGTGATGCGCTATTATTGAAATGTTGCTGTTGTTTGTTACAGGATGCAAATGATTGATAGGCACTACAGCGTTTATTGAGGGGAGCAGACTGAGATGGTTTTTGGTGGCAGTGATACAACATAAGCACTGAATAAAGGGGGGTTGTGTGAGAAGTTGAAACATGTAGTAGATGTGCAAATGGGTGGTTATGGCGTGTCTTACTGTAGCTGTGTTAAACTGTTTGTAAGAGAAAAGATAGAGTCGGTTGAATTTAGTAGTGGGATTCAGTTCAATCAGTGTTGACAGGAATGAGAAGCACACCACCAATCATTGATGCTGAGCATTAGTTTAAGGTTTGAGAGTACAGTTCTTACAGTGAGCTGTGATTATCACATTGACGACTGCTAATGGATACAAAAATTAATAAAATAACCATCTTAAAAATATTTGGACAGTCCTCAAAAAGTCCATAAATTAATGACCATGTTCTTTGATTGATTTTAATCCTCAGTTAGACAGAAAAGCTCAGCCGGTGAAGGTTTTGACAGTACCAAGTCTTTTCTCCCTAAACATGACTCCAACACACCTGCTTCACTTGTTCCGCCCCGCCTTGCCCAGCACCCGTCCCCAGTTGACATAACCCACATCTCACATGTGATTCTGCATCTTTAAAGAGGATGTAGCTGAGTAAGGAGATTAAAGGAGCAGGGATTTACCAACTCAGGAAAGACAGCCCAGGGAACAGACCTGAGAAAGAAAAAGGCAGAGTGAGCACTGCAGGCAGAGCGAGGGACTAACTTAACCTACATCTATCCTACTGTAGGTCACAGTTATTATGCCTCTCTCCCACGCTACAGCACCTTTCTCCCACACTGTACATGCTCCTCAACTGGAAAGCTTTAGGCTTGTGCTTTGAAATGTAATCCAGTGTTGAGAATTTGTTCACTTCTTCCTAAATGAATGGTAGCACATTGATTTCAGCCCCGGAGTCCACTTTTTTTCTCTGGCTTCTTAGTTTGACAATTGCCTGCATAGTATTAAAATCACAGAGGGCAATTTAGGGCTTTGAATCCCAGTGCTTTTCATCAAAATGTGATTATGTTAGCACAAGATTTGCATAGTTTTTCTTGCTATTTGAAGCTGGTTAAAAAAAAACATAACATCTGATGATGTTTTTGCACATTTGCAGTTTGTGCAGTGGAGGGAATATTCTTGTGGCAAGCAATGCTCTGATGTTTTGCATATTGATGAGTCTAACTGAAATACAGCCCCTGTCTTCAAAACTGTGGGGAATTGGGCTTGCATTGCTTTTATTGCCTTCTGTGAAAATATGATGTATCTGTTTCGGTAGGTGAGACAGCTCAGCGCTGTTTTTTTGCTCTGAGAATACTATTTAAATGAGGCTGATGGGGACAACAGGCTCCGCCAGACACTGCAAATGATATTTCTTTTGTTGGCTGTGAGGAAACTGGAGAAAAAAATGAGAGTGATTATAGCCACCATGAGGATGATGATGGTGATGATGACGGTGATAATGGCATGCCACGGTTTTTCCGGGGCCATTGACAGATTGCTGGGAGTTTGCCTCCTTCTCTGATGCTATTATTCACAGCATTTTTCTTGTTGTTACTTCCTTTCAACTGTGCACTCCTGGTGCACGTCTTCCTGTCTCTATCACTCCGTTTCCCCCTCTGGCTCTTGATGCTGTATTTTGCACTGCTGTTTTAGGAGCTGCAGCTTTTTCCAATAACTGCAACATTAAAATTTGCTGAAAGCTTTTCTGCTGCCAGTCGTCAAAAGACAACGCCAAAATGACAGTGCATCTAACAAATACTGCTATATCCTGCTTATTCAAGTGTAATAGAGGAGACATATAGACGCACACACGCACACACACTTAGCAGGTGCAACTTCTACACTCAGGTTTTATGTGTGTGTTTTATCTGAGTCTGGTTTTGGAGCAACAAGAGGTTTGAGATGTCAAGATTTCACATGATTGCCTGAGGATGAGGCAAATCAAGGTGGTAAAGTAGGTGATAGTGTGTTTAGGAAAACACTCACTCTAACAGCTCCATCTTGGCATTCTCTGTATGCCTGAGTATACAGTGTTCCCTAAAAACATTATTAGAACTTGGTTATTTTTTTTCACTGCATCTTAAAATATATCAAGTCATAGAGAAGGAAAAGGAAATTTGCAAAGAAAGTCTGCATTATTGTCTTTCTGATGTGCTGTTTTGTGCATCAACCTAGTACCGAGTTATTTATCATGTGATTTGACATCCTGATGTGATCAGCTCCCACCTTCTCTATAATCTTTCCTGGGATTCAGGTTGGCTATCATTCAGATCATGCAGGAGTCTCATCTGGCCTCTGATCAGGCTAATCTCATCTCACCTGCTGTCTCGTCTCATCCAGTCAAGACGTACTTCTCAGCACGTGTCTCTCTGCTGTAGTCCTATGAAGGCGTCTGAATCATGCATAGGCTATCCAACTTGAATACTTACCATGCATGCGTTTTTTTCTACATATGCATGCAGTATTCAGACATTCATCCCCTGCAAAATGCTGGAAAATTTTGTGTTGGATGGATAAATCAATACATTTCAGCTGCCACTTTGGCAGGTAACATTTTGAGACCTTTTGAGCTGACAGGTTTAGACAGGTAACAGCAGACCAGTGGGTTTATATCAAACAGGTAGTTGATTGACCACCTGTTACATCCTGTTCGCAGAGCAGGAGCATCTAAATGCTTTGCTTCATTGGATCCTGGATGGTAAACTAACCAAATCATGAATAACAAACTTTAATAACTCTGTTTATCGTTTACAGACTATAATAGAGTAAGATTTTTAAATGCTAAAAAAAACAGACCTAGATTTTTTTTTGTTCATTTGTGCTCGTTCTTAGCCTTGCTGACAGACTAGCTGTGTTCTGAACAAGATGTAGCTGCCTGCTAAATTATAGCTAGCTGGTCTGTTAGCAGGTACTGGCATCTCTGAAAATGTCAGAGCAAATTTTTAAATTCTAAATGTAACCAACATTTCTGATTTTTCCCAAACTGTACAATACCATAATATGATCCTTATTTCGAGATCAGATAAAGACAGACAACCGATTTAGCTAGTGAAATGTCAGCACACAAGCGCCAAGAATGTTTAAAAAAAACACAATCTGTTAACCTAAAAAGTAATATTGGTGATCTACTACTACCAGCATTAGCATTGTAGCTGTGCCATTTTGTACAGGGCCCCTGGGAATTTCTACATGTGTTTTGGTGCAGAACACAAGGAATGTGCAGCACAAGACCCTTGTTTTTCCTCTGTAATGTGAACATACCTTTACAATAGACCCACTGAAGAGGCCATTCAGCAAAATGGGGGAGAGCGGTCATGATGAGTTCACAAGTTCAATCCAGCAAGTCAAGGTCATTAATGTGGCAAAACACTCTCAGCCCAACTGAATGCAGTAACAGAACACAAGAAGAGCTGAGTCTTAAAGTAGGACCTTGAGATACTGTAGAAAAAACAAAAGTACAGTATTGATTTATTGCAGGTGCATCAGAGTAATTAAGCATAACGTTGCTTCTCTTGCCTTATTTTCTATTGGTTACTTTTGCTTTATCACCTAAATTTATGTGGCATGACTTTGACTAAATGTTCTCATTTGTGGATTTTCATTCTATGAAGTGTTTCTTTGTCTACATACTTGATTGATTTATGGTGTAACTGAGCACTAGCATCACTTACTGTATTGTCCCAGGTTTAAATCTGATCTTTCTGTCTTTCTACACCTTGAAAGTCCTTTGCCTTAAATAGCTGTGTGGTAACACGTGCACAGCTGTATTACATCCATCACTTGTGTTGAATTGAGCCAGAAACTAACACCCATCTGTCTGTATAGCTGTAGCTTGGATAGCAGCAGTAATGTGACTGGCATCATCCCAAATGAAAATATCCTGAGAGATTCCCGCCTCATTTTAGCAAGTGCATTACAGCGTGATCCTCTATGACCCTAATTAGCATATCACCTGAGGGCAAAAGAAAGTTTGGTACCTACCTAACTGGCTAGCTACTGTTTAAATTCCTTAGCAACAAGAAACAAATTTAGGCCATGCATGTAAATTAAGATAATTTCCTTGGGATTTTCATTTTTCATTACAGAATGTGCTAGTGGATTTTGTTTGAATTCAGTATACCTGTGTTTTTATTTACATTTTTAGTTTAGTTATAGTGCAAATGAAGACTAAATGTGTCTGTTGTGTGTGCCTGGCCCTACAACCTTTTGAAAGTGAGCACTCAGCAGCCAGTGGAGCTCGGGAAAGGCAACAGCAGCAGAAGTAGCGATGCAGCCTTAGCATCATTTTGTTTAAAAGTGGAAGGAAGCTGTTTTTCAAAGTTACTATTTGTCTCAGTGGAGGAAGAGTGAGTGCAGCTCAAGCTCCAGTGGTCTGCAGTTCAGTGTCACTGAGCAG